AAAGTGAGGAAGCTCCCTCTCTCTCTCTTTCCCCCCATCCCCAGTTGAGTGCACTTGCCTATGGGAAAAAAAGAAAAGAAAAAAAGATGAGAAGGAATCTTCGGTTCTTGAAGGAACCTAAAGGATGACCCAGCTTGAAAGCAGCCACTTGCTTCTTCATCTTGGGTCTCCCCTCTTTGTCAGGAAATTGTATTCCTGTTTCCAGTGCCTGTGGAGGTGACTCTGACCCTCTGACGTGTCCATGGATTTGTGGTGTCATGTCATGGTTTCTGTGACCATGGTGACGAAGGTCTAGCAAGGGCACTTTGGCAAAACCTGGCTACCTGTCATTGTGTTACATGCAGGGAACAGGGAATGGGGAAGACATGGCCAACCACTAGGGTCACAGTTCTTTAATTATTTTAGGATTTTTCAAGGAATGATACATATTTCCTTGACAGCTACAAGTTCTGCTATGACTGCCTTCCTGTTTCTTTGCTCATTCTTTCATGTTCTTTCTGTCATTTATGACATATGGACCGACATAGCATTTGTGAATTTTTTGAGACCTATGTCATGTTATTTGTTCTTGTCACCTCCACCACAAAAGTGATGTTTCTTAGTGACAGGATGTGTTTTATTTATCTTCAGTGGCATATGTTTAATAGGTGCCCAATAAATATGCTTTGAGTAGTCCTTTCAGTACTTGAAATCTTAGAAATTAGGCCTCATTATCTCCTCTTTTAGCCATTTAAAAAATCCCTGTTTTCCTGAACTGAATGTCCTTTTCTCAATGTTTAGAAATGCTCTTTCTTCTGTTCTAAGCTATTTCTCAATCTATACTTTAGTTGTGGAGCTCAGAGAAAGCGATACTCAGGTGCAGGTTAGGTCAGCTTTCTTTAATTCTTCCATTCTGTCTTGTTCTCTCGTGTGCTCCTTTATAAAGTTTCCTCATTTACATGAAGGATAGTTACAGATATCTCATAATATTGAAAAAACAACATATGTGAACACATGTAAATCACACCACTGTGTCTCCTCAACGCTTTCCGTTCAGGGTACTTTCTTCTGATGTCTCCCTTCTCTTCTGTGTAATTTTTCTCTTAGCCTTTTTTTCTGCCATATTACAGTTAATACTAAATTTAAAATTGGTAAATTGAAGTTCTCAGTGTAGTAGGACATTTGTTTAGGAGAATTATGATTAGTCACTTAAAATTGCACTTAACCAAAAACACCCATATGAGCTGTTTTTGCCAAAATTCTTGAAAGGCTAAGTTAACAAATAAGCTTCAGAGTATCCTATCTATATATTCTAAGTATTCATTCTAAATGTATCTTTCTAAAAGTTATATATTTTGAGTGGTCTTCCTGTTTGAGGTTTTTAGGAGTTGTTAAGATTATATATTGCAGGGGCGGCAGATGGTGTAGTAGTGGAGGCGCTGGCCATGGTTCAAGTCCTGGACCCGATGGCTTGAAACACTCCGGGTGTGTGTGTGCATGCACGCCCAAAATCCCAAGAGAAGAATGGTGGAGAAGGAACTGCAGTGTGGTCATCCCTTGGGGGTTGATTTCTCACTTTTTCCCTCTCTCTGTCTCTATAGCAAAAACCCGTCTAAAAACATCGTGTGTCACAGTCTTTAAAATATGTCCAGTATTCTCTACGCGCCAAACGTTGATGTCTACTGTGACTGTGATTTGGTTTTATGTCTGAGAGTTACTGTCTGTTTATAAATTCTAGGGCCACTCTCATGAGTGAGTGGAATGAGATAATTCAGTAGCTAGCAGTTTGGTTCTCTATATAATAAGGTAAATAATGAAGGTTCAGAGCTTGGATTTTTAATATTTAATATTTTAATATTTTGATATTTTTATTTTCATAATGATGATTTAGTTAGAAGTGTTGTTTTGTTTCATTTCTTTAATAAGTTTTTTCTTATATATTCTCTTAACACTTTGGGGTAGAGGGAGCAGGTGGCCGAGACTTATTAGAGAAAATGATATTTAAGTTGAGATCAGAAAAGTGAATAAGATTTATCCAGACTAAGTAAAGATGAAGATGTTGGAAGTGAAAGATAGATTGTGTTATTATAATTTATGTTGGTTCACTAACGAGCTAGACAAATAAGACCAAATGAGTCTTGGATCTAAATGAACTATTGGGAGTAAAAGAAGATAATTAAAAGTAAATAAATATAGTTTGTGGGTTATTTCACGCAGTTCATTAGAAGTAGTTTTTATTCTTGAAAATCTGTTTATATATAATACACCAAACTCATACATATGACACAGCTTTGTATTTCTTGTACAGTTGGCTTTTTTCTGTTCACTCATTGCTTGTCTATGCGTTCTTGAGCATCTGTTATGTGCTAGCCAGAGTGTGATTTGTGCCGTGATAGCATGGGGTCAGGATGCTCTGAGAGCCCGTAAACAAAGCACCTAATGCTACGTGGGGTGAGGGATAAGGAGAGAGAAGGCTTAATGCGGAAAGTGATATTTAAGCTGATACCTGAAAGGTAAGTTTTATCTAAACAAAATAGGAATAAGGATGTTGGGAATGACACAAGGCATGAAGAATTTATTGCAGATAAAGAGAGTAATACATTTAAATATGTGTATTAAAAAAAGAATGTCAGCTATGGTAAAAAACTATCAATAATCAAATGATTACTATCATTTCTGTTATTATTTGAAGGAGTTTACATGTATTAACATTTGTATTCTTTATAAAAAGCATGTAAGGGAGTTATTGTATGTTCATTAACTGATTATAACTGTCCCTTTTCTGGGCTTATTTTACTAAAAAGAAAAAATATATTATGACACTTTAGCTTGTCATTGAAAAAATAATATATTGGGAACCAGCAGTTAGCGTAATGGCTATGTCGCTGGACTCCCACGTAGTCGACTGTGGTTCGTGTCCCGGACCCGGTGGCTTAAAACTCACACCGGGCGCATGCGTGTGCGTGCCCAAGATCCCGAGAGGAGAATGGAGGAGAAGGGATTGCGGCGTGACCATCCCCCCTGGGGGGTGATTTCTCACTTTCTGTCTCTATGTCTCTCTCTGTCTGTCTGGTGAGTGCACGCGCCATATAGCGAAAACCTCTCAAAAAATATTAAAATACTAGAGATGGTTTGTTTTGAGATATATAGTTTGTATGGTTTGTAATGGCATTCATGGATAATCCAATCTATGACTTACAGTTAACTTACAATTTTCAGTTACAAGAAATAGAGGGGATAGAGAAGAAAGTAATCAATACTGTGAAAAAACAGTAAGACAAACCCAGATTGTGACACATTTAAAAAAAATAACCGGTTCTTTTCTGGACTCTTCAGAAAAGGCAATGTTATGAGAAAGAAAATATCAGAGAGGGACCAGCATATGGTGTATGGTTATGTCGCTGGACTCCCACATGACTGACGGCGGGTCAAGTTCTGGACCTGGCAGCTTGGAACACACTGGGTGCATGTGCATGCATGCTCAAGATCCTGAGAAGAGAGTGGAGAAGAGACTGCGGCGTGTTCATCCCTCCCAGGGTGACTTCTCACTTTCTGTCTCTGTCTCTGTGGTGAGCGCATGCACCCTATAGCAAAGATCTCTCTTAAAATAAGAGAAAGAAAATTGCAGAGACTCCAGATTAAGCCAAACTGAAAGAGTCATAACAACCAAATATAATATAATGTATAATTTTTGAGTTAATCCTGGAATTTAAAAAAATCCCTACAGAAGACCTTTTGTTGACAACTGGAAAGTTTTGGATATGGACTCAGTATTAGATGACATTAGAAAATATTATCATTTTTTCTTTTCTTTTCTTTTAGTTGTCAGAGAACATGTGTACTGGCCAGAGAGGTAGGGAGGAAGAGAGGGAGAGAGGGAGAGAGAGAGAGAGAGCACTCTGCAATGGGGTGTGGTTATGCCGCAGCCTCTCCTCCATTTCTCAGTCCTACCAGGATTTCGAGATTGCATGCACGCACGTCCAGTGGTTTTCAAGCTGCCTGGGCCAGGATTTGAACTGTGATAAGCCATGTAAGATCCAACTCTCAATGCTCTGTGCTTAATCGCTGCTCTTACTGGGCTGGCCGATATCATTAATTTGTGTAGGTGTGATAATGGTATTGTGGTATGTAAGAGGAGGCCCTTATTCTAAGACTAGGCATACTCAAGTATTTAAGGGTGAAATGGTATGTGGGGAAAATTACAATATAAAAATTGCTATAAAATTTTATTTTTGGCTATGTCATTAATAGGATTCATAAGTATCAAACATTTATAAAATGCTTAACTTACTTTCCCTTTTTGTTATTGTCTGCTGTTTGACCTTCCAGGTTCATCACCATATCAGGTTTATCACCATATGGCTGTGGGCTTACTATTCTTTTTTTAATCTGTACTCATTTCTGTCCTCAATGAGAAAGTCAGTTCTGTTGGAGCTGAGACTCCGTTATTCACTGCTGAGCCCCAGCGGTGGGATAGCGGCTGGCGCCTGGTAAGCAGTGGTCTATGTGTCTAAGTAAACCAGCGACCAAGGGTAGACGGTCTCTACAGCCTTGCCGTTTCTCTACAACTCATCATGTATTTCCTATTTTTAAATTAGTTGTAGTATTGTTCACAGAGAATAATAATAGATTGTGCTTTATTTTCAGGGAAGTTGGGAAAAACGAATTTTGAAGAGTTTGAATAGTATGTGCACTGAACTGAGTATACCATTGGCACGAAAGGTAACGTTTTCCTGTGAAAGCATTACGAGTTGACTACTAGAAAGGATCATGAAGTTTTATCGCTGCTAGGCACATTTACCCTTTTTCAATTGTATAGCAGCTCGTTTTGAAATACAGATCTATGAAGGGCCGATGATGTGGGTGTATTCTATACGGAATTCTACTACGTATGCTGTAATGATCACTATGAGAAACTTGTATCTTTGAGAGTAAGTATAGACTCTGCAGTGTAGATTGTTCATAGTCACTTAGCGGTCAAGACTGAGTATGCTTTAAAGGGTCGGATTGCGTTCGTCCCCTTTCTACTGACTAGTTCAGCACAAGAGCCGGATTTCTTGAATCAGGTGGAGTTCAGGCGTACCGTGATCTTCTAGGCAATATGCTACTGGCTTTCAGCATTTGCCTAAGGAATGAAGAGAACAATGTGCCATCTCTCTGCAGAGCGGGCATTCTTCTAGATCTAATGTCACTCTATCTGTCACTCTGAACTTTGAGAGAGGAGCGATGGGAAAGGAAAGAAAAGCCATTTGAGCAATGCTCACAGGTGGGCGAGAACTAGTTTCCCTTCACTTCATTCTCCCTACCTGCGATTGATTCCCTGCTGCTGGGCAGGGAATAGTGGATGTACTTTGGGTAATATCCGAGACACCGAAGGCACCAGAAGGTGGTGTAAAAAACCAGGATACAACTGTGTGAAGAACTGTCTAAATGTGTGGGGTTGTCATGCACGGCCTTCACCTGGGAAGACGGTGCTCCTGACTCACACTCACGCTCTCTTGGCCAGTCCCCTTGCGATGCATTTCCGAGCTTGCTGGATGGGGTAAGAGATGTGGCGTGGGGCTGAGGAGCAGCTCTGTGAACTACAGTACTGGCCGGAGCAGACATTTGCTTCCTTTTCTGGGACTCATTAGCACCATATTCTAACTGAGCCACGGAACCTAAATCTAATGTAACAAATTATAGTTATAATTCCAAAAAAGTTCTCCATGTTTAATGAAATTATTTTTCCATATGTTATGGTAGTTTATTTAAGCTTTCAAATAAGTTATTGATTTTTAGCTACATTGCTAAACTTAAAAAAAATGAAACCAATTTTAAAATGACCCTTTTTAGAGGCCGGTTGGAGAACAGAAAGAACTTCTGAATAAATGGAATGAAATGGGGACCGATGAACCAGGTATAATATAAAGACCTTTTTTCAAAATGTCGTAGTGGGAAAAGAACCGCCTGCTTAGCTGTGACTCCAAAGCAGCATATTTCACAGTTCTTTTAGGAGATTAGCAACGTCCCCTGCCACTTGTCTCCTATCTTACTTTGTTTGCCAGAACCGCTTTGCAGTTTAAGCACCCTAACTTTGGTCTGTGTTCCCCATTATTTGGGGCATACCTAATTCATTTGCCTTTTCACAAAGGGGCATTGTAAAACATTATTGTAAAAGAGTGAATATTTATTCAGTGGATTTTTGAGATGCTTGTTCTTCAGTGAAGATAAGTATTTGCAAGCTTAATTTAATTGAGATGAAAATAGTTAAATAATGAAAATAGTGAAAAACAAGTTTTAAGAGTGTAAAATGCTTTTAAGGGTTTATTTTGGTTCATTTTCATATTTAAAAATTGAGTCAATTTTATCAAAATATGATGAATAACAACTGTATTTTATTTATAAAATAAATAGATGTTTATTATTATATAGACAGACATGTACAAGTCTATCATCCCCTCCTTTACTATTGCTAAATATATATATATATACACACACACACACAAACATACATAAAGTGAAAAATTACACACACTCACATATAATAGTACTATTTTTAGATACCTACATTTTTATAGCAATGATTAGAGACATATTAATATTCTTTCTTTCCATTTCTAAGGTTTTCAATAGCAGTGAGTTTTGCATTCTGTTAGAAGTATGTGTACTCACACACACACAAACACACATACATATATATATATATATATATATATATAGAGAGAGAGAGAGAGAGAGAGAGAGAGAGAGAGAGACTAGCCCAGACTAAATGCTGTAACAGAGGGAAACTGTGTTATGGAGTTCAAAAGGCAGAACAGTTTAATATAAGCAGAGGAATTCACTAAGAATGCATTGTTTGTATTCTGAGTATTTTGATAATTCTTATATAGAAGCTTTACATTGCACTGACATCGTTTAGTTAATTCAATTTTTGTGTTCCCAATACTTAACAAAATGTATAACAGCTAATTGATATTCAGCAGATGTTTAAGTTAATCAGTATGCACAACAGTGTATGAAAGAATTAACATTTATTGTTAGTGAGACTTCATAGAACATTTTAACTGAAATGTTGTTTTAAACTTTTTTTTTTCTAGATTTAAGCCTTTTTAGGCCTGTTTATGCACCTAAGGATTTTCTCGAGGTAGGTTCTGCTAGAGAAAAATGCATATACTAATGAAGGAGTGATGTGAGATAAGTGATGGAGTAAGAGTATCTCCAGAGCCATTGAAGCAGTGGACTGATACAATCAGATTACATCTGGAAATCGCTCTTGGAAAATATGGCGCAATAGTGAAAGATTAGAGGGAGGTAAAACATTAAAAATGTTTTAATCCAAACATTCTGATTAAAAGTAGTGGTGGCCCAGCCTCTGGGGTAGTCAGTAGCATACAGACAGCAGAGCTGGAGCTACAGGCCAGCCACGCTTCAAGTCACCTCCTGGTGACCTGAAAAGGTGCTGGATGTGTGGGCATGCGCCCTGGATCCTGCGGGCTGGAGGACTGGAGGAAGGGGGCTGCGCAGGGTACTTATTCTCCCTCTTGCTCTCTCTGTCACTCGTGCACACATGTCCTCTAGCATGAACTTTTCCCCACTGTACGGACCAGCACATGATGTGATGGTTTTGTTGCTGGACTCCAATGTAGTCAACTGTGGTTCTCCCCAGACCAGTGGCTTAAAGCTCATGTGGGGGTGTGTGGGCCTGAAGGGAGGAGAGTGCAGACCTGCCCTGCTTGTCAGACGGGGGATAGTCATCAAATTCCTCCATCTCTGTTAGGTAGGGGTGCTCTCTTTGTGTCCGCTGCTTCTACCAGGTTGTGGAGCCTCGACCGTAAACAGAGTTTTATCTACTGGTCTACTCACAAGACCGCGCAGTGCTCTTGACACTTGGGGTGAGGCTGGGATGGGAGGCCATGTTTAATCTGAAGCTATATGGTTGTACTCTTCCCTTAAGATGTGTGTTAGCTTAGTGCCAGTTTTGGTGTTCCGTAGGTGGGGAGCGCTGGAATCCATGGTAACAGTCGGGGGTTCAGAGTTTCAGAGTGGAGTTTCTCTTGTTGGTTTCCTCTGGAGGGCATGTGGGCAGGGCACTCCTCCGGAGCCTCATTGGCTTCAGATGGTTGACTCTCCTTTACATTTCTAAATCAAAATTTGTTCCAGAATTCCTGCCATCTTTTTCTTGTACTTCATCGGTGTCACCTCACTACTCTCTTCTCAGAGAGACATCAGGGCAGGAGTTTCTAGTTGAATGAGAGGCCGCAGTGCACTTTTGCCACTCCCTCTAGGAATTCTCAGCTTTGGGCTCTGCTTCAGCCTGCTTACTCAGCGCTTTCCTGGCTGCCTCTCTATGCCTCTGTCGGTCACTCCAGCCATGCCACAGCCTGCTCAGTCCCTGTCTGTCTCGTGGTTCCAGCAGTAGCTGGGTCTGGAGAGGTAACACCCCCCTCCCCCCCTCCCCAGAAAATACCAGGGACTGAGTCTCAGCAGCAGGGCTGGCAGCCTGGCCCAGCATGGAGGGTGGTGTCAGGAAGGCTGGATGCCCAGTCGTAACTACTCCTAGCAACTTCCTCCTGAGTAGAATTTTGTAAATCTTACAAAATGGTGTGTACTCCAAATCTGCTAGTGAGAAGCACCAGAGCCCGAGTGGCACTGGTGATGGCAGCTCCTCCACCAGGAGAGCCTACGCCGCTGCCCCTGTGTCCCCACACACACCTTTGCATGCACACACAGACACTCGTGCATACACGCACACTCACCCTCTCAAATGCTCACACGCACACTCAGCACCATTTTTCTCCAAGTGTTTACTATACTTTTTTTTTTAGAAGTTTTTGCCTTAGGGCACATGTGCTTGCCAGAGACAGAGACAGTGAGAGGGAAATCACCCCCCAGAGGGGATGGTGACGCTGCAATCCCTTCTCCTCTATTCTCCTCCCAGGATCTTGGGCACGCACACGTATGTGCCCGGTGTGAATTTAAAGCCACTTAGTCTGGGACTCAAGCCACGGTTGGCCATGTGGGAGTCTAGTGACGTAACCGCTATACCATCTCCTGGCCCAAACTAGCACTATGATATAAACATTTTATGTTATTATTTATATTCATTGAGGCATATTATATTATATTTATTATACGAATTTATCATAATGTATTTAAATAATTCCCTCTAATGGGATATTTAAGCTTCTTTTTTAAAAATTATAAACAATACTCCATTTTTTTCGATACAGTCTTTGCAAACATATTTAATTTTTTCCTTAGAAGTGCAATCCATATTCACACTTAACAAAGATGCCTAGATTAAAGGATATATCAATGTCTAAGATGTTTGTTATTGCTTATATTTGAAAATTATATAAATGATTTTCTTATATGCTGTGTGTCTGAATTTTTTTTTTATCTCCTGGGAGTTTGGTTTAGAGGAAATACCCTATAATGTCACTCTGCCATCTTTCTAAAAACCATGTCAGTTTCTGTTTTAAAGGTGTTAGGGTTGGTTCTAAAATTATGTTTAATAGATTTTACAATTAGGCTATTTTTTATCTAGATTTTCACATGGTAGATTGTTAGTTGGATGATTAAAACCATTTTAATTATATTTTATCATTTTAATACAATTTTATAATATTTTAGACTGTAATTAAAGTATATGTATAATGACAAGTAGTTTTTGGTTTTGTAGTGATATATCAAGACTATCACTGCCGATTTTTTAAAGTGTAAACATCCTATAGAGAAACTAACCCTAACCTGGATTTCTTTTAAAGGTATTAATTAATCTTCGCAACCCAAATTATGAAAATGGTGATTCTCTGAGTTTTAGGACTCATTTGGGTTTAATCCAAGTTCCTCTGAAAGTAAAAGACATCCCTGAATTGGTAAGTAGAGAAAAAAAAATTTAGAAGATAACCATTAGAAAAATGTTTTAATATAGCCTGTATGTAAAACATAGGGTAATCTGCTTATTAAATGAATTAATAAAGTGACGGTCTTTTTTCTTTTTTTGGCCAGAAGGCATGTGCATGTATGTGAGAGAGAGAAAGAGAGAGAGAACATCTCTCAGACTGAACCTGGTCACACTACGATCCTTTTTCTCTCCATTTTCCCAGCCCATCAGGATCCTGGGAAATACATGCAGACGCTTGCTTGTTTCTCAAACTGCTGGGCCAGGGCTTGAACCGTGGTTGGCCATGTGAGATCTAGTTCCCTCTGCCCTAGAGGGCAGGTCTGACTTTTCTTTTTTATCACAAATCTCTGTGTGTGTGTGTATGTGTATGTAAGAGAGAGAGAGAGAGAGAGAGGGGATCATTAGAGGAAGATTAACATCTGACTGGTAAAAGTCCCAGAAAGAAAAAACAGAAGGAAGATAATTATTATAATTATTTCCAAAAACTGGGACCAGCAGATGGCATGATGGTTACATTGCTGGACACCCTTGTAGTCAACTGAGGTTTGAGTCCTGGACCTGTTGACCTGAAACTTGCACTGGGGGGACCAGCAGTTGGCATAATGGCTATGTCGCTGGACTCCCATGTAGTCGACTGCAGTTCAAGTACTGGACCCAGTGGCTTAAACTTATGCTGGGCACATGTGTGTGTGTGCCCAAGATCCTGAGAGGAGAATGGAGGAAAACAGATTGCAGCATGGCCATCCCCCCCTGGGGGCTGATTCCCACTTTTTGTCTCTCTGTTTCTCTCTGACTTTCTGGAGAGCATATGAGCCTTATAGCAAAAATCTCTCCAAAAAGAAAAAGAAAGAAACTTATACTGGGTGCGTGTATGTGTCCAAAGTCTCAAGAGGAGAATCACAGAGAAGAGGTTGTGATGTGGCCATACCCCCGGGAGGTGATTTCTCGCTTTCTGTCTCTCTTTCTCTTTCTGTCTCTCTGGTGAATACACATACCCTATAGCAAAAATATCTCTTAAAAAATGAGGAAAATTTCCAAAAAGTGAAAAACAATAGATGCAGTATAAAAATCCCACCAAGCTTGCAATGGCATGAACGAAAGAAAATTCACTCTGTGGCACTTGAAAAAGAGAAATCTGAGAACCTTTTAAAGAAGAAAAACAGGATACATACAGTGTCAGGAATCAGAGTGACATCAGACTTCTTAGCAGCAAGACTGGAAGGCAGCAGATATTGAAATAATACCTTTAAAAATGTGAATGCAGAGACCAGCAGATGGCGTAATGGTTACATCACTGGACTTCCACATGGCTGACCTTTGTTCAAGTCCCAGACCCGGTAGCTTACAAATCACTCTGGGTGCATGTGTGTGTGCACCCAAAATCCTAAGAGAAGGATGGAGAAGAAGGGATAGTGGCATGGTCATCTCCCTGGGTTGGGGGGGAATGTTTTCTTGTTTTCTGTCTCTGTTTCTCTGTCTCTCTGTATCTCTGGCGAGCACACATGCCCTATAGCAAAACCTTCTCTAAAAAACAAAAGAGTGGAGTGCAGGGGCCAGATGGCAGTGTAGTGGTGGCATGGTACTCTCTGAGAAGTTCTGGTTTGCATCTAGAGACCTTCCTAGCAGGACGGGAACACACGTGCCCATGATCTGGGCTGGCTGAAGCTAGAGGCAGATCATGGCATGGAGACCTTGGGGTGGGGGGTGTACTCTTTCTCTCTGTCTGTCTCTTGTTCCTGGAAGAAAGGAATAGATGATTGTTTTAAGAATTCAGGATGATTTCACACTTGCAATTTGGTAATATGACGTCCCCAGGAAGAGTGAGAGCGGAGGAATCACGGACACATTATCCTGTGCGTTTTCAGCCCCGCAGAAGCAGAGCTAGACAGAGACAGTGAGAGGGAAATCACCCCCCAGAGGGGATGGTGACGCTGCAATCCCTTCTCCTCTATTCTCCTCCCAGGATCTTGGGCACGCACACGTATGTGCCCGGTGTGAATTTAAAGCCACTTAGTCTGGGACTCAAGCCACGGTTGGCCATGTGGGAGTCTAGTGACGTAACCGCTATACCATCTCCTGGCCCAAACTAGCACTATGATATAAACATTTTATGTTATTATTTATATTCATTGAGGCATATTATATTATATTTATTATACGAATTTATCATAATGTATTTAAATAATTCCCTCTAATGGGATATTTAAGCTTCTTTTTTAAAAATTATAAACAATACTCCATTTTTTTCGATACAGTCTTTGCAAACATATTTAATTTTTTCCTTAGAAGTGCAATCCATATTCACACTTAACAAAGATGCCTAGATTAAAGGATATATCAATGTCTAAGATGTTTGTTATTGCTTATATTTGAAAATTATATAAATGATTTTCTTATATGCTGTGTGTCTGAATTTTTTTTTTATCTCCTGGGAGTTTGGTTTAGAGGAAATACCCTATAATGTCACTCTGCCATCTTTCTAAAAACCATGTCAGTTTCTGTTTTAAAGGTGTTAGGGTTGGTTCTAAAATTATGTTTAATAGATTTTACAATTAGGCTATTTTTTATCTAGATTTTCACATGGTAGATTGTTAGTTGGATGATTAAAACCATTTTAATTATATTTTATCATTTTAATACAATTTTATAATATTTTAGACTGTAATTAAAGTATATGTATAATGACAAGTAGTTTTTGGTTTTGTAGTGATATATCAAGACTATCACTGCCGATTTTTTAAAGTGTAAACATCCTATAGAGAAACTAACCCTAACCTGGATTTCTTTTAAAGGTATTAATTAATCTTCGCAACCCAAATTATGAAAATGGTGATTCTCTGAGTTTTAGGACTCATTTGGGTTTAATCCAAGTTCCTCTGAAAGTAAAAGACATCCCTGAATTGGTAAGTAGAGAAAAAAAAATTTAGAAGATAACCATTAGAAAAATGTTTTAATATAGCCTGTATGTAAAACATAGGGTAATCTGCTTATTAAATGAATTAATAAAGTGACGGTCTTTTTTCTTTTTTTGGCCAGAAGGCATGTGCATGTATGTGAGAGAGAGAAAGAGAGAGAGAACATCTCTCAGACTGAACCTGGTCACACTACGATCCTTTTTCTCTCCATTTTCCCAGCCCATCAGGATCCTGGGAAATACATGCAGACGCTTGCTTGTTTCTCAAACTGCTGGGCCAGGGCTTGAACCGTGGTTGGCCATGTGAGATCTAGTTCCCTCTGCCCTAGAGGGCAGGTCTGACTTTTCTTTTTTATCACAAATCTCTGTGTGTGTGTGTATGTGTATGTAAGAGAGAGAGAGAGAGAGAGAGGGGATCATTATAGGAAGATTAACATCTGACTGGTAAAAGTCCCAGAAAGAAAAAACAGAAGGAAGATAATTATTATAATTATTTCCAAAAACTGGGACCAGCAGATGGCATGATGGTTACATTGCTGGACACCCTTGTAGTCAACTGAGGTTTGAGTCCTGGACCTGTTGACCTGAAACTTGCACTGGGGGGACCAGCAGTTGGCATAATGGCTATGTCGCTGGACTCCCATGTAGTCGACTGCAGTTCAAGTACTGGACCCAGTGGCTTAAACTTATGCTGGGCACATGTGTGTGTGTGCCCAAGATCCTGAGAGGAGAATGGAGGAAAACAGATTGCAGCATGGCCATCCCCCCCTGGGGGCTGATTCCCACTTTTTGTCTCTCTGTTTCTCTCTGACTTTCTGGAGAGCATATGAGCCTTATAGCAAAAATCTCTCCAAAAAGAAAAAGAAAGAAACTTATACTGGGTGCGTGTATGTGTCCAAAGTCTCAAGAGGAGAATCACAGAGAAGAGGTTGTGATGTGGCCATACCCCCGGGAGGTGATTTCTCGCTTTCTGTCTCTCTTTCTCTTTCTGTCTCTCTGGTGAATACACATACCCTATAGCAAAAATATCTCTTAAAAAATGAGGAAAATTTCCAAAAAGTGAAAAACAATAGATGCAGTATAAAAATCCCACCAAGCTTGCAATGGCATGAACGAAAGAAAATTCACTCTGTGGCACTTGAAAAAGAGAAATCTGAGAACCTTTTAAAGAAGAAAAACAGGATACATACAGTGTCAGGAATCAGAGTGACATCAGACTTCTTAGCAGCAAGACTGGAAGGCAGCAGATATTGAAATAATACCTTTAAAAATGTGAATGCAGAGACCAGCAGATGGCGTAATGGTTACATCACTGGACTTCCACATGGCTGACCTTTGTTCAAGTCCCAGACCCGGTAGCTTACAAATCACTCTGGGTGCATGTGTGTGTGCACCCAAAATCCTAAGAGAAGGATGGAGAAGAAGGGATAGTGGCATGGTCATCTCCCTGGGTTGGGGGGGAATGTTTTCTTGTTTTCTGTCTCTGTTTCTCTGTCTCTCTGTATCTCTGGCGAGCACACATGCCCTATAGCAAAACCTTCTCTAAAAAACAAAAGAGTGGAGTGCAGGGGCCAGATGGCAGTGTAGTGGTGGCATGGTACTCTCTGAGAAGTTCTGGTTTGCATCTAGAGACCTTCCTAGCAGGACGGGAACACACGTGCCCATGATCTGGGCTGGCTGAAGCTAGAGGCAGATCATGGCATGGAGACCTTGGGGTGGGGGGTGTACTCTTTCTCTCTGTCTGTCTCTTGTTCCTGGAAGAAAGGAATAGATGATTGTTTTAAGAATTCAGGATGATTTCACACTTGCAATTTGGTAATATGACGTCCCCAGGAAGAGTGAGAGCGGAGGAATCACGGACACATTATCCTGTGCGTTTTCAGCCCCGCAGAAGCAGAGCTCCTGCTCCTTCCCCACTTTTCACCTGACAGACTAGTTTCTAGTACAGAAAAAAAAACCGACGGAAAAGTGCCCCTACGTGCTACAAGCAACTCCAGTTTCTATCGCTAACGGCAGTACATTGTGACCAACAGAGGCAGTGCCTCGTGTGCAGATGCTAGCAGAGTAAGTCTGAAAGCCAGAGGATTTGTCTTCTGCTGTGAAGGAAAAAAGAAAACCTGGAATTCAAGCATTCCTACACACAGACATTTCTAAAAGTGACTTCCTGGGATGTCTTTTGTCACAAGCTGGTTTTGGGGATCATTTATCAACCCAGTAGAAATAATTAAAACTAATTTCATTTTTTTAAAGAAGGAAGTATGGTTTCAGCAATTAGAATAGTTATAAAACACTGAGGCAAATATTAATAGAAATATTTAATTACAAAGGGCATAAAAATAATGTCAGTAATATGGGGGGTTTTCTATATTTAAAAGGTCCCAGACAAACATGATTACTGTCCCTAGACTAGATTACTAGATAAGTGGGGAAGTCTGGAGAGTAAATCCAATTTATCCTTATTGTAGCAAAGCACTTGCTAGTCCAATTTTATTTAAAAATTAATTTGTTTTGGATTTAGTTAATTAAGAGCAGAGTGAAGCACAGTTCCATAGAAAGCACAGATACAAAATTATATTGGTAATTTTAGACAATAATTTTAGAAGGCAAAATTGTTAAATGCTACATATATTCTGTGAGTGTGTGTGTGTGTGTGTGTGTGTGCACATCTGAAAATGGATTTTCTGAAAGGTTTGATGTTAGTGATAAGGATAATTATCATTCCGCACTTTGCTGACCAGTTTTATTTAAAAAGACAAAGTTAAGAATGCTTATTGAAAAACAGTTTTTTTGGGCCAGCAGATGGTGTGGTGGTATAGGCACTGAACTCTGACGTAGCCTACAGCAGTTCAAATCCTGGATCTGGCTGCTTGCTTTCTCACTTCTCTCTTGCTCTCTCTCTCTCTCTCTCTCTCTCTCGTGAGCAGGTGTGTCCTGTAGCAAATTGTTAGTTGTCGGGAAAGTTGTGATGTATTTTTCTATGCAAAAATGTGTCATGACTTTCCCAACCACCCAATAAAAATTAATAACAATAAATAAAATAAATAATTCTTTTTTTAAAAAAAGTTTTTCTTAAAAAAAGTGGCAGCACTAAATATTGCTCCAAAGGCACCAGAGTAAAGACCTTTCTTAAGTAGGAAAAGTTAGGGAAAATAAATATTTTACCAAAGG